AATCTTTTTCATACATTTATATATGATAATTTGAATCAATATTCACATATCTTTATACATATCTTAAAAAATAATAATTAAATTTATATACATATGAAAAATTTTAATAAAATATGTATAAGAAAAAAAATGATCTCAATTTTACATATTGTGCACAATATATTTATTGCTATTCACATTCAATGTATATTAATTTTATTTTATGTTTAAATATATAATATAAAAATACATATGTTGTAATACATAATACATATTAAATAATGTTCCATTTTTATTTCACATCAAAACTATTTTGACAATAACATAATAATTATATCTCAATCTTAAATATATTTATAAATATTTATATTTGTATAATTACTCTTTATATTAAATTATTAAAGAAATATTAAGATAAATATAATATATATTTTATTATATATTCAATTTAATCGTGTATTCATGTAAATATCGTTTGATTTTATATTATACATAATATACATAAAAATATAAAAATGTTCTTAATATATATATACAGTAATTTATAAATGCAATATACGGATTATATATACAATACATATATATATATAATATATACATATATATATATAAATACATATATATTTTACATATATTATATATATTTATTTTGTAAAAAATTTTAATTTTTGAAAATAAAAAAGTTTCATGTGCTACATCTTTTCAGGTTATATTCTCCTATAAATATAAAATCAAAATTTTTGACAATAAAATGAACAACAAATCTTTGAAAGAAACGGTTTTCAATAAAATGTTTCAAAGTTTCTTTCTATTTCTTTTATTAAGACAAAACTCCCATTAATGGTACTTTATTACTTGATTAAAACATTCGTATCATATACCAGCAAACATTTATAATTAAAATATACTACATTGTTTGTTCTTCAAAGATATGTTAAAAAACTGTAATATTTATATTTTTTACATTAAAGATTAAAACTATAGGTTTAAAAAAGAAATATATGTTTCATATTTAATATATGATTATGCGCAATTTAATATAAAATTAAGAAAGCAAATAATGACAAAAATATAAATATATAATAAAAATTAGAAAATCAAATCATCTTCAGAATATCTCAAATAAAACTAATATAAACTAATATAAAAAGAAAAGATAGAGATATATTAAGAATTAATTATTAGCATCATTTCGTTAAAATTAATATCTTTTCAAAACCAAAGCAAAATGATATGAAATAAAAATTAAAATTTAAAACCATCTCTTGAATAATTTTAAAACATAATTGAAAAATGTTTGATTTATTAAAAAATGGCACTAATCGTCAATTCTTATAATTTCTATCTCTATTCTCTTTGTTTTCTTTATTTACTTACTCTTTGATTTGACTCTGAAGATAATATTGATTCTAATTTTTATTATATCTTCTTTTCCCACTAGCAATGTATGATCAATGGCAAAAGTGTATTAATAAAGTAGTTGTAAAATATGTGATAAAAAAAATAATAAAAGGAGTTCAATATTATTATTAAGTTTATATTTTCTTATTATATTAAAAAATTATTTATTTAGAAAATTAATTTTAATTATTCATTGATAAAAATGGCTATAATATTTACACGTTTTGTAAATATACGAAATGCAACAAATAATAATAATTTTGGTTCTTTTAAAAGTATATTGAATATTGTACCATGTTCGGTAAATCAAAAAATATATTTAAAATATTGATTAATTTTTTTTTTAAATATTTTTTAATTATCAAATAATTATTATAACCTTAAAAATAATAGTATTTAAATGATGATTTAAAAATTTAATAATTTTAGGGTGTTATTTTTAAATCATATTGTATAAATGTTAATGATAATAAATTTTTTCATAACTCTATGAAAATGCCGAAAAAAAAAATTAATAAAGCTATGAAAGCATATCTAGAACGATCTAGAGAATATAGTAAGTTATAAATATATTATAGTACAAATAATTTTTTTATTTTACAACAAATTTTATGTTAATGATTGTTAATCATTAAAATAAATAGATATATAAATTAATATTAAATAATACTAATATCAATATTTTAGAGCAGTTTATAGAAAGACAAACACTGGAATATAATATTGGAAAACGAAATTTAGCAAAAATGATGGGTGAAGATCCTAATAATTTCACACAAAAAAATATTAAAGTAAATATAGTATTTTATATTATTTATATAATAATAATAAAAAAAGGAAATTTATTAAACTTTAGGCATTATTAAAATTATTACTTTTAAAATAAAAAATATATTAACTAAAAATATTAAAAATTATTTATATTATTTTTGACAGAATGCAATATGTTATTTGTTTCCATCTGGATTATATGATAAAGAAGCTCGTCCTATGATGGCTGATCCTGAAGAATTATATGCACATCAAAAGGAAGCAGAATTTAATGAAGATGGTAGACCATATCATTTTTTACATTATACTATTAAAGCTAATTATTACGAAATACTTCATGTAAGTCTTTTTTTAAATTCTTTTATTACTCATTATAGATCAATATAATATTTTTTAATATTTTTACATGTAGAAAATTGTAGAATTAATAAATTATTTAAATAAAATAGAAGATCAGCTTCTGATAACAAATCAGCAAATTACAGAAGAGAAAAAAATGTAAGTTATATATTTTAACTATATTTATGTTCTTACTTAATTTTAAAATTTAATTAGACTATCATTTAATTAATTTAATTATTTATTTATTACTGTTTTAGAAATTTAAATGGATCAGAATGGTTAGAAAAAACTGAATTAGAAAATATGTTGCTTGAAAAATTATCAGATTCAGAAGTAATAAATAATATATAATTCTTATATTTTACTTACATTTTATTTTATTTATTTAATTCTGTAATTTGTTTTAGTATGAATACTTTATAAAAAGTATGCAAAGCTTAGCTAATCATCCTGTATCAAAGCATGAAGAAAGTTTTATTATGAAATATAGAAAAATGTTAACAAAAATCAATGACAATATACAATTGCCAAAAGTATGTACTTCAAATATTATTATTATTACTTATTATTTGTATATATATACATTTAGATTTTTGTTCTTTTTTTATCTCAATAAATAATTTTATTTTATTACAGCCTCAATATGATAGTGATAACAGGCCTTTTGTACTTATTGAGAGTAAGTATAAAATAAATTATCAATATCAATCTTGTTTCATAATATTTTTAAAATTAAAAATTTACTATTGTTATTTCAAGAATTATTTATAAATAATTGTATATAAGTAATTTGTTTATTAATATTGAACTCGTTATATTAATATTTTTTTTATTGTTTTATATTTTATTAAATTATATATAATAAATTATATATTATTGTATATTTTATAGAGTGTCAAAGGAAAACTTCAATAGGCCAGGTTAAAGTAATAGGAAATGGATCTGGAAATATTACTATTAATGGACAGGATATCGCATATTTTAGCGATATACAATGTCGTGAACAGGTAAGTTGAAAAACTAATCTAAATAATTTTAATTTTTAAAATATAATATAATATAAAATATAATATATATATAATGCAATAATTTGTTACTAAAATAATTTGATGAAATATGAATATATATTCATGTTATGTTATTAATTTTTCATATTTGAATAATCAAAATTTAATTAAAAAATTATTTTATGAAACATAAAACAAATGATATTAAAATTATAATATATAGTATTCTAATACATTTTATTATAAAATAATAATTATCACAGATAATTATCAATCAATATTGTTTGTATAATCAAGGTAAGTATATAATTATGTTATAAAATATTAACTTATCATTGAAAATAATTTTGTCTAAAAATAATAATAAATACAATAATAAAAACGTAAAAACATTTTAAAATTATTATATTAAAATATCATTATTATAAAGAATATCATTAATTTAAGTATCTCTTTATATATTTTTAAATAATTTAAATAGATATAAAAATAAGATCTTGAAATAAGATCTTTTAATCTTGAAGTTTTACTGAATTAAATTTATATTATTTTTTTTATATTATATTAAAATTAAAATTATTAATCACAATATACATATATAAATTTAATCATTAATGATTTTAGAAAGATTTGCTCAGTTAATTATTTTAAGAATAAATAATTTTCAATTTTTAAAAGATATTTATATATAATATATTTTTTAATTATTTTTATAATATTTTAATTAAATTTTAATAAATTTGTAAAACTTGTCACTTTTAAGATAATTATGAAAATTATGATTAATTATCATTTTTTATGCGCAACTTTTATTTTTCTTATAAAATTAAAATTATATTTTCTATTGTGATATTTCAAATTTTAATCTAAAAAAAAGATAATTATTTTTATAATCAATAATATAATATATCAGTAGCGCTGCGTGAATATAATATATTCGAATTTATTTTATCTAAAACAATAAAATTCAAAAATATACAATAAATGGTTTCGTATACTTTATTTCTAAGAAAAATTTAACTTTTTATGTTAAAATTATCTATATTAAAAGAATCTGTTTTATATACTTTGTATTATATATTATTTTTTTTTCCGATGATTAATAAAGTCACATATTAAAATTTAACAAAACGATATATAGAGAAATATGTATTACTATTATGAAAACTAATTTTAAAAGAAATATAAATAAGAATTTAATAAGAATTTTAATTTTTCTTATTTTTCATAATTTTTTTTTTATTACGTCTTATTTTTTTTTCTTGATATAGAAATAAGAAATATATCGAATTTTACATTTTGTATCGATAAGATATTTGAGATCTCAATGTTTCCTACGAAATTATGTTATTTTGTATTTTTCATTTTAATCGCTAAAAAAGAAACATTAGCAAGTTTTTACAAGATAAATTCAAGAAGATTAATAATAATAAGTTTTATAATTCTAAGTATGAAAGAAAGTAATCAAGATTTTATAGATTTTTTAAATAAAATTTAAATGCAAAATGAAAAGAAACAAAGATGAGAAAATCTATATTATAATAAAATGAAATGAGCTTATGCGATTTGTTGATATTTCTGATGTATAATTTATTGTGATCTTCGCGATCTCGAAACATACAATGCGTGTAAGAAGCTCGATTCCAGCTCAGTATTAATCGAGTCGTCCGATAGTACGACAGGTTTAAAGTGTTGTAATCATAACATTGACACGTTGAACAGTACGGATTGTTTGTTTAATCAAATTGATTGGATTCGCACGTGGAAAAATCGTTAGTAATCGATTTTTTATTGTACATTATCTAAATTACCGGTAATAAGACAAAATTGCAAAATTTTATATTTTATATTAAATATCGAAACAATTATATATGATGGAAAATCAAAGAAATTTTCTTCGTCGAAGCTGACAGAGTCATCCTATGAATTTTAAAATAATTAAAAAGACAATAAAATAATTGAATTTGTGATAATGCAAACAAATTTTAATATTATCTGTTTAAGTGAACATATGTAATATTCGAATAGTGAATGTTGAAAATAAATAATGAAAACTTTTTAAAATCTAGAAGTAGATTTCTAAATAAGATTCAATTTTTGACATAAATAATTTAATTTTTCATTTAATTAACAATGACAAAATAAAATTATTTTATATTTTACTTTAAATTTACATTTTTATTTTATGTTAAATAAGATTTTTATATTTTTTTTTCTTCTTTTTTTATGATATTGAAACATCAATACGTTTTAAAAATAAATAATAAAAATTTATTATCATATAATTAGAAATGTAAAAAAATTTCAATTATTAATTTATAATATTTTAAAGATTTCATTAATCTATATATATTATTATGTTTATAAATACTTTATAAATTGAAAAATCAATATTTTCGAAAAAATTATATTAATTTTATTATTAATCATTTATAGTGTTCGACATTTTTAAAGTGAAAAATGTATTATATTTGTTCTTGTCAAATATATTTATATTTCTTCGGTTTCAAAAATTGTTTCTTTAATTTTTATTTGAAACTTTATACAGTTATATTCTTTCTATCATAATTTACATTCTCTTTACATTCTACATTGTAATCTTTCAAGAATGCGAAATATGCGAAAACGTCATTCCGAATACATTCATGATGTTTTCGAAATTGACTTGGTATGTTGAAAATGTTCGTATCTTCGAAGGACTCGAACTGTATATAAATAATATCAATTTAAAGGTAACGGTGTAGTACTTTGCTGTCATCAATGTATGTGCCCGATTTTCCAATTGACATTCGCGCCTCACGCGATGCAGAATCAGAGGTCATCAAAGATCATCTTATATTTTCTTGATAGTATTACTGAAACAAAACTTCAAATGATATATTTTAAAAATTAAATCAATTTTATTAGGATAATTCCACTTAATTAGAAAATTACTTGTTTTTCGAGTTACCCTACATAAATTTTGTAGATTTTTTTGTTTCTCGGTGCCTTCTAAGTACTATAAATCTCTTAATAACGTAATTGAAACAATTTGTGTTTGAAATCATGATATTATTACCTTTTAACTTTCATTATACGATACCAGAGTTATTTAGATTAAGTGTATGATAATATTGAAATATAGATAATATTGAAAATTTAATATAATTATATCAAGCAAATTTAAAATATTGAAAATATAAAACAAAAAAAATAAATTTATTCGAAAAATTTGTTTTAAAAAATAAATTTTAATAAACTACTGATGATTATCGATAAAATCAAAGGATGACTCTTTATTTCAACTATATTATACTAAAAAGAATTAAATATATATAAAACATACATGTTAATTAAAAATATATTGGAAAAATGAAACATATCAAAATTCAATTTTATTAACGAATCTTTGAAAGATCCTTAAAAGATTCTCGAACGATTCAAAGCATGAATGACATTTTTTCCATCTTACACAGACAATATGTTTGACAAATAAGCTTCGGCAGATCGATCGAATAAGCGAAGTGACGTCACATCATTTGTCTACTCAATGCATATTCACGAGTTCATTCATGAATTAATATCTCTCAAGCCCTTTACTACTCACGACAATACTCTTTGTAGATCAATGATGTAATCGAGTAAAGCGGTAGCCGAGAAGGATAGAGACGAATCATTCGCAGACCTTGAATACGCCAACAACTAAAAAGAAAGTACAAAGAGGATAGGAACGTGGATATGGAGAACGTAACGGTATCCATTCCAAGTACTCCAAAGCGTACGACCATGACCTCTTTGCTCCTAACACGATGGTTGGCGTCGAAAAGTTCGACTCGTACGAATGCAGAGACAAGTTGGTCCTCCGACGATCGAAGTTTAGAATACGGCACACCGCCACCCATAGAAGAGCCGCATTGTTATTCCATGTGTGCCAGCGAAAGCTCTTGCACGGAGGAAATTAATTGCACGTTGCAGGTGAACAAGGATATAATTAGGAATCTGTTAGTAGAGCATATGAGACACATCGGCGGTCGATTGCAACTTCTCGATGATTTGGAAGAAAATAAAATGGACCTAAACAATCTCGAGAATTTCGCGAAATTGTATAAACAACACGAGATAAACGCTTTATTACTTCACTCCAGCTTCTTAGGTCATGTCGACGCGATTAAAAGTTTGCACGAATGCGGAGCGGATTTGAATCACTCGGAACAGGGACAAGGCCTAACTCCGCTGCACTTGTGCGCGTTCAGTAATTGTTTGGAAGGGGTACAATATCTGCTCGATAACGGAGCCAATATTCATCTGGAACGAACTCATACACCCTTTCATTATGCCGCTTTTGGAAATGCCTGTAAAGTAACTCAATATTTCCTCCAATTAGGTATCAGTCAGGAATCTTGTTACGGAGAGGAAACTGTGTTACACAGTGCGGCCAGGTCAGATGCTTACAACGTGTTAAAATTATTGGCACCTAATAATCCTACTTTGGATAATTTAGATTGTAATGGATACGCTGCCATACATCACGTAGCAGACAGAGGAGATTCAAGTTGCCTAATGATATTACTAGACGCAGGTTGCAAACTAGATTTAACGACCAAGAAGAATGACACTGCGCTGCATCTTGCAGCTGCTGCCAGTTGCGTGGAGAACGTTGATTTGTTGGTAGAAAGAGGCGCGAATGTCCATTTGAGAAATCACAGAGATCAAACGGCTCTGCACATAGCAGCTCGTTCCCATTCTTTGGAATGTGTGGAGATATTGCTAAAGAAAGGTGGATGCGATCCTAATATTGAAGACAATGACGGAAGAACGTCTCTGCACCTCGCTTTAGGTAGATCATTGTTAGCCTATGACGTGACGGAATTTTTGATCACGTGGAAAGCAAACGTGAATAAAACCGACAAATACGGTTACACACCGCTTCATATAGCTGCTTTAAACGAATTATCTCAATGCGTGGATATCTTGATCCAACACGGAGCGGATCTTAGTGCTAGAACGAAAGGTGGAACTAGTGCATTGTCCATTATCTTACGTAAAACACCGACGTCTTTAAATGTCTTTAAGCAGAGATTAGATGCATCGATAACGCTTCATCAGCATGGATCGGCAACTGGAGAGGCGGAGCTTCGTCTCGATTTCCATCCTTTGCTTATGAATCAACAACAAGGCGAAATAAGATATCTTGGAACGTTCGTGAAGGAAGGATACAAAGAAATATTGGAGCATCCGCTTTGCCAGGCATTCCTCCATCTAAAGTGGCAGAAAATTCGGAAATATTATGTGGGCAGGCTGATCTTTTACCTGTTTTACGTTCTCATATTAACAGGATGGGTAATGACCGCTCTGGCGCATAATTGTTACAACGAGTCGCATGGCCAATTAGACAACGATCAGCCACCATTGTGCGCGAACACCACCGGTATCAATGGTTTTCTTTACAGACATCCAGCATTACTCGAGGTCGAATGGTACGCATTGATGGTGCTCACGATTCTCGAAGTATTCCGCAAATTGACCAGCATTCCAACGTATCCCTCCGTTCGCCAATTCTTCACACAAGCCGAAAACATGGTCGAATGGTGTGTGATATTGAGCGTGTTCGCCACTTCTTTTATCTACACGGGTAGAACGTATCCGTGGCAGAGTCACGTAGGAGCATTCGCGGTGCTCTGCGGTTGGAGTAATCTTATGTTAATGATAGGGCAATTGCCAATATTCGGAGCATATGTGGCTATGTTCACCAGCGTTCAAGCACAAGTATTCAAGCTTTTGTTGGCGTACGCCTGCCTCCTGGTAGGGTTCACAGCGAGCTTCTGCGTGATTTTTCCACGATCGAAATCGTTCAGCAGCCCTCACATCGGCCTGATCAAAGTTTTGGTCATGATGACCGGAGAGTTAAATTTCGAGGATCTGTTCTTCCCTCGTGAAGAGGACGGGAAAACGATCGACTCGGGGAGTACATCTTGGATTTTGTTACAAGTTTCCGCCCAGTTGTCGTTCGTCCTGTTTCTTTTATTCGTCACGATCGTGTTGATGAACTTGCTGGTAGGAATCGCGGTTCACGATATAAAGGGACTACAAAAAACGGCAGGACTTGCAAAACTCGTTCGCCAGACGAAGCTTATCTGCGACGTCGAGACGGCACTTTTTTTGGGTCTGATGCCAAAAAGATTAATGAAATTTTTACGATGGACCGCTCTGCTGCTACCATCACCTTTGAGAGCCGTTTTAACCGTTCGTCCCCTGAATCCGAGAGAGAGTAGACTGCCTCGCGATTTGTTAGCCGCGGCGCACAAGGTCGCTAAGGAAAGAAAAAATTGTATATCTGGAACTTTGTACAGTAGAAAGAGCAATACCACCATGTATACGTGTTTGAAAAGCGAGCCGTATTCGACTTTTCGTCGACGTTTTCCAGAAGAAGATATTTCCACGGTCGATGATTACGCGATTAAGGGAGAATTGGCAGAATTGAAAAAGATTTGCGAAAGAAATCATCAACTTCTTCAGGACATTGTGTTGATGTTGGTGAATGATAAGCGCGAATAAAGAACAGGATGAGAATAATTAAGTTTAATCTGGAAATTCTTCGAATCATAATCTCTTGGAAATAGCAAGGACATAAATGATCTAAAAAACGAATAACGCTATATCAATAGTTTAAAGATGTTAAATTATATTGCATAATGCAAAAGAATTTTAAACATATTTTGATATCATATTTTAATATTTTTTTATGCTTAAAGAGTACGCTTAAAAAATTATCTAGATATTACTCAATGCTGAATTTCTATTGTTCATTGAGATATTTCCAGAATTTCATATAGTATGACGTAATCTTCTGAAATGAAAAATCCGAATGATTAAAATCATTAAGTAAAAAAAACGTATGTTCATATGTTTTCATATTATAAAGCAAAATTCGAAAGACATATATGAAAACATTGCAATTTAGTTTCTGCAATTTATCTAATTTCCTTTTAATTTTAAAAATTTTAATTATCCTTGGCAGGTGATTTTCACTTCTTTATGCGTTAAGAACACCATAAAGATTTATATATAATTTTTTTTATACATTTGTGACAAAAATTAGAAATGAAAATAAATATTTAAATGAAAGAGTTTAACAATTACATTTCAACATAATCTTTTGAAATCTAAGTTTGTTGTTTAATGTTTGTAAAATATTGTATCATAATGCATTACATTCCGTCCATGATATGAATAAAAATTAAATGCTATTATAGTGATAAGCTAAAAATTTTAATACTATTTATTTTTATATTTTATATGAATATTTGTAAGTGTAAACAAGTTGTAAATACGACAGAATTAGAAAATGTATATTTTTATAGAAAATTTTTATTTGTTACTTAATATAATAATGAAAATATAATAAAAGAAAAATAATTTTTTTAAAATAAAATAAAATAAATTTAATTCTTTATATATTAATACTAATTTTAATTTTTTATATAGAAGAAAAAAATTTATATAGAAATAACTTACATGATAAGTGCTTAGAAATTACTCATACTTAAATATATCTATAAAAGAGAAGACTAAGAGATAATAACATCCTTCAGATTTACATGGAGTAATGTCATAAAAAAAGTATAAAAACCATATTTTAAATAGTTTTCATCCAGGCGTATTTCTTTTGCAAACATTGATATTTTTAAATTTATCGTATATCAAAAAATATCATAACTTTTAAAATAATTTATTCGACTTTATATATTTGAAAATTTAATTTTGTTAATAATATTAAATTATAGTTTTATATTAATTTTAATAATTTTAATCTTAGTCTTTCAATATATTGCAATAGGTAATGAAAATGTAATAATGATGTGGATACCGTGTTGTATGATCGTAACTTGAACTGAATTCCTTTTGATATGAGAATCATATTGTTCATAATATACAATCTATTGTCTTTGCAGCTTCAAACGTAAATATAATTGTTCATTAATGATTGGAATTCGCGATAACATTCAACTGTGATAATATTTCATTATTCTAGAAAGTAATATTACTTTTGACTCTAATTTTATACTTGATTTTAATGACTTTAATTTTATATATGTATACATAGTTTTTTATTTGTTTTTTCTTATGTAGTTATCCAACTATTATAATTTAAATACATTATGTCGTTTGAATTTAAATGAGAAAATTATCCAATATAATCTCATCAAATCTTTTATATTAATTAAAAAATGTTTCATTGTACGAAAAAGTGAATTGTATTTCCGCTTCGGAAAAAATTGATAAATAAATATATTTTCACTTTTAAACGCATATTACGATTGTATTTTGCATTACCCAGCAATTTCATGGAACGTGTTGTTACCCAACATTCTTGTGGATACCTTGGAGAGGCAACATTTCTATAAGCTTAAACACGTTTCGCAAGATATATAAGTACCATAAAAGAACAATTTCGAACGGAAGTGAAATGCAAATCAATATATTAATGAATATGATTTTACAGTTTTCAATAAGTATTTAAAATATTTATTCTTATCATATATTTCGCATCATCTTTTTTAATGCGAAAATGTCATTTTTCTTAATTTAATCCACGATATCTTTTAAAATATCAATGTTTTCAACATGACAGTGAATTTCAACTTTGCATCGATGTGAATATGAATTTCTGCACACAACTGCTTTTTTCTTCTTTCTTTCTTTCTTTTTTTTTCTTTTTTTTTTTTTGTATCATTAATGATTTTATCCACGAAAATATTTTAACAATCATTTCTGGGAATTTGACTTTTAATTCTATAAAAAAGAAGAACAGCTTGTTTTTTTTTCAGAACATGATTGACATGTTAAATCTCGTAATATACCTCGGTAAAAATCGCCGCAGGTAATAATGTACTTCCACTTTGTGTTCATTGGGCACATTTAAATTTAACCCATTGATATTCGCCAAATGGTTAAGAACCATTCGATGAAACCGGTTCCAATTCGTAAGAAATCGGAATCTGAAAGCCAGGTACACAACCTATATGTATAACGATGGAATACAATTCCCGGTCACGACGGGATTGAACAAGGACGCAGAATTTCAAGTGCGTAGCATCAAGATTTTACGCGAACATTTTAAAGACCGGTGAATCTATGAAAAAGACTCACATCCACACTGACTCTGCTCGTTTCAGCATTGGAGAACGTCATACGATATCGCGTACAAGCATCCATGACACCGGCTTTCTCTTTATTAATTTGCGAAAGTGTCTGAATATATTATCGGTGGATTATCATTTTTTCAATTGTCAAAAGTAAAATTTGAAAATCATTTTGTGGTTTGGTGAATTTTTTGGTGAAATTTGTAACAAATTAACGAATAGAGGAATGGAAGTTCAAATTTTGACATGAATGTAATAGAAGGAAAGCATTTAAAATAATATATTTTAATAATCGATAAAGAAAAATTGGTAGAAAAGTGATGTCATGTTTGATTGTTGTGTTTTGAAATCTTAATTTGATATGAAAGAACTAAATTGACAATAACGAAGAAACAATTGAAAACATTCGAACAATAAGTGAAATATGTTCAGTGTGAAAAAAGTTTGCAAGAATAACTTGATAAATTTATGAATAATTACTATTTTATATAAAAATAAGAAGATTGTTATTTTTTTAAAAATTAAAAATATACCTAAATAATTTTGTACAAAATCAAATATGAATAAGAAAGAAAGATTTTAAAAAATATAAAAATAGAGTATAAATAAAAATTAAACGATAAGTTTCTCTTTTTTTCTTTTAAATATCTAATTTCCAAAATAATAAAAAATTCAATCCTTTTGTCGTTATATTTCTACTTTGCAATATATTTTCTTAATGTTTTTGTGTGAATCAATATGTGTTCTTAATGTATTTATTTATATTTCATATTTATGTTCCTTTTTTAATATTTAATATTTAACATTTTATTATTACATCTTCTATAATCTTCACACATGTAAATATATACAAATTATTAAAACATAATTATTTATATTATTACATGATGATAATAATGATAATGATGATGATAGTAAACAATTCTAAGTATGATGATTGCACTGTTGCATAATCTGATATTATCGATAATTGTATACCGGCATCATTGTAAAATAATTACTTATTAATACAATATAATTTATAATTATTTTCTTCCTTTTCTTAAAAATAAGTTAAACTATCTAAAAACTTAAAATAAATTTATCATGCATATATATTAATTAGATTTTAAAGGAACAAGAAGAAACTCGAAGAAAGTTCTGTCAAGAATTAATCAATCTGTTGAATCGAAGAGAGATCGAAAAAAAAAACGAAAAAAAATTATTGTTTAAAAATTTGGGCAAAGGAAAGCTTGTTTATTGCAACGTTGGTCTGCCTCGATGTGACTCCCATCTCATTTAAGTTTTAAGTTCAAGGTCCCTGTTCGAAGGAGTACTGGCTTCTCCAACGGAAGCATGTCTTTTCCTCTGAACTTATATATAGAATGTATCCATACGAGTCGGCTAATATAAGTCACTCGGGCGAGTGACACCGGTAGTCGCGTGTGCTGCAATGACGAGAGCATTCTCTTAAAGTGATCTAAATGACTTTGGGACGTGACGTGATAAACGAAGAAAAGAGTGAGGCCGAGGTATGACGATTGGAACGTTCTTTCGAGGTGATCCACGATAGTAGAGAGTGTTACGTCGCAGTTTCTTCATCATCCTTGTTCACGGACGAATTTCTTGGACAGATAATGGACGATAAACAGATATACGAGAACTCCACCGATATACCGAAAGCTAGCTTGCAACTTCCGACAATTACGGTTGGCAACGAAAGATCGCGGCGTTACTCGTTAACCAGTTTAAAAGATCATCGTCTCCCGTTTGAAAACGAAAACGATTGCGGAGGGACGGTAGAAGGAGAAGTTGTTGAAGCACATGAAAATGTCGACAAAACGTGGCAGCTGAAAATGAAGCCACTCGCCAATCATGAGAAAAGAACCAGACATTATTCTCTGACTAGATCAAAAAATCGTCGTTCTTGTCTGTATACAGATGAAGACAGAAATTTCTTAACGAAGGCGGATGTGAACGAGACTGTCAACGATAAAACGACGCAAACGTTAAGAGTACCATTGACTCGTGAAGGAAGAACGATACACTGTTCGTTGTCGAATCTCAACGATCCGTCGAACGATCTTCTATCCACCAGATTTACTTCTACTTTTAGATCCGTCAGATATCGACAATCGATATCTAATTCGGAGAAGATCGCGATCGATGATACTCCTCCGGCAGATTCCTCGAACGATCACGTGGAAATCGATGCCGGTACACCACCACCGGTCGACGAATCTCTCTTCTACGATAATCTTGACGTATTCAGGCAAGCGCAGATCAACAGCAACGATCTTAGATCGATTATGTGGTCAATCGTAACTACGGCTGAAATGAAAATATTACTTCAGCTAGAAAAATGTAACGCGTTACCAGAGATACCGGCAGGAGAACGTATAAGAAATATAGCGTACATGTGGTGTTGTTATCGCAATTTGGCGCATCTATTACCAAAATTGGAACAATCAGGCGCGAAATTAGATTACGTGGAGCCTAGCACGGGCATGAACGCCATCCTAGCTGCATCGTTAAGTGGTAGCGTGGCTTGCATCGAGCATCTGATAAAAAGAGGCGTCGATATCAATTACCGGAATCCGATCAATCATTATACGCCTCTTCACTTCGCTATCTTAGGAAATTCGCCTGATACAGCGCGGATACTGCTCGATAACGGTGCAAAGCCGAGCACGTATCTTTACCAGGAGGTGGCCGAACCAGTTTTGCATTGCGCTATCAGAGCAGGGACTGTGGAAATAGTAAAATTATTATTGGAACGAGGAGCAAGCATCGTGGAGAAAAACCATATGGGCGAGACACCGCTCCACGTAGCTTGTTTCGTTCAATCGATAAAATGCGTTGAATTACTTCTAGATTCGCCCGGTACCAATGTCAACGCAGTGGATCGGGCACACAGAACTCCTCTTCATTTTGCCGTGATGACCACTTATTCCTCTGCAAAGCTCGTAGAACTTTTGTTGAAACACGGTGCGTTGGTGAATGCGGCGGACAAAACTGGCTTCACTCCTCTTCACGTGGCAGCATTAAACGAACAATCTCATTGTGTGGATGTATTAATTTGGGCCGGTGCAGACGTCAGTGCGACGACCAGCGCGGGACTTTCCGCTTTGAATATTATCCTCAGAAAGATACCAGATTCTCTTCAAGTATTTCGACAAAGATTAGACGCCTCGATAACGCTCAGAAGACCCGTGCCTCACAATAGAGAGTTTGAGATGAGATTGCACTTCGATTTACTCTTTCCCAGTGGAAATCAATGCGAGACGAGTTTCATCAACACTTTCGTTCAGGAACGCCGTAAAGATTTGCTATCCCATCCGTTGGTAATGGCTTTCCTGCATTTGAAATGGGAGAAGATTAGAAAATTCTATTTACTCAGAATTCTAGTTTACGCTATGACCGTGATCTGTATGACCACATACGTACTCACTGCACTAGCTTACAAATGTTACAACCACGACGAGGCGAACAGCTCGAAGATTTGCAGCAGCAAACGTATCTCTGGATTCTTATTCAGGCGACCGGTGATCGAAATTCAATGGTATCTTTTATTAATATTCACTTGTATCTCTATTCCTAGAAAGATATTCGGTTTTATGGTATACACGTCCGCGAAGCAATACTTCTCGAATATCGACAATGTGTTGGACGGTGTTGTTATAATCAGCGTTTTCGTCACGTCATTCGTGTACACGGGACGCACATATGATTGGCAAAATTACGTCGGAGCATTTGCGATACTGTGCGCTTGGACAAACTTGATGCTGATGGTTGGTCAGTTACCAGCTTTTGGCACGTACGTGGCGATGTTCACTCACATACAATTCGAATTTGCTAAGCTATTGCTTGCTTATTCTGGATTGCTGATAGGTTTCACTATCAGCTTTTGCGTCATTTTCGTCGGAGAACCGTCCTTCGGTAATCCTTTCACGGGACTCATCAAAGTATTGGCAATGATGGCTGGAGAATTGGACTTTGAAGGGCTTATCACGCAAATCGATCAAGGATTAGAATCCGATGGACCTTTCGTTATTTATCATCCGTTATCGGTGTGCTCTCAGATTCTCTTCACTCTGTTCATCGTATTTGTCACGGTTATATTGATGAACTTACTGGTTGGAATAGCTGTTCACGACATTCAAGGTTTAAGAAATCACGCTGGTCTCACGAAACTTGTACGTCAAACAAAATTGATTTTATTTACGGAAATGGTTTTGCACAACAGTTCGATTCCGTACGCCTTTCGGAAATGGATGTCCGATCATAAGATTAACGTGGAGAACAGAAGGAGAGTCTTAGTGGTGAAACCGTTGAATCCTTTAGAGAAAAGACTACCCAAAGATATTCTGAAGGCTGCTTATGAAATAGCACAGAAAAATATACCGTTCATGAACGACGAAAACATTAATTTGAGCGATCACGTAATAAGAATGAGACAACATAGCGAGGAATATTTCGACTCAAATTTGCAATTGGTTATTGAGAATTTAGCAAACAAACTACAATCTTACGAAGATATGATCAAGTCGTTGAAAGAACAATTGTTAGATACTAATAAAATGCTAGAGAGTGTTGTGAAAAGTCTGGCAAAGGAAAAGAATAACTGAACTCGACTAAGTACTTGATTGATTGAAATTACAAAATAGTTCGTTAATTGAGAATCGGGAAAACTTAACTGTAGTTAGTTAATAATGTGCACGTGAACGATTGCAAATAATCGAAACTACATCTTAATATTTAATAAATCAATTAAAATTCGATAAAATCGATTGATTTAACTTTCTATATAAATATCATTTTAAGCATTGTAACGAGTGACTTATGAGAAAAGGGTGCCGGAACCAGAAGTGAAAGTGAACGTAGAAAAAAAAAATACACATGTTTAATAACGATGACATTAAGACTAATGGTACTAACTTTTGCTTTTTTTTTATACTTTTTAGATTAGCCTTTTTCGTCATAAAAATTTTTCACATCCTTCTTTGAATACTTATGATTTATTTTTATGCTTGTTATTACTATAATAAAAAAATAATTTATACATACATAGTATAAACGAATGCTCATATTTAATAAGTATTTGATAATTAGAAAATTTAGAAATTGATATTGATGATATTTCTTAAATTCAGTTTCTTAAAGCACAAATATTTACAATTCATTATGATTATATTTAAAAAAGGAAGAAAATGAATATGTTTTCTTAATAAACATTTTACTATAGAAAATATTTAATTAATTAGATATTAATTAATTAATTAAATTAATCTCTTTTTATTTCCTTTTTATAAATTCTTGAGGGAAAACAAGATTATCATAATATGTCCTCAACTAAAAATTTAATAGCAATAAACATTCGTTTAAGCGTTACATGTACGTTTTAAACAAGCGTTTAAATTTTGTTATATTTTTCAAGGAAATATTAATTATTTTTAACTGAATTTATTTTAAATTACAGGTTATATTTCCATTAATTTTTACGAATATGTGTGACAAAGTTGATATTGAAGCAAATGTTACTGGTGGAGGGTTTTCTGGACAAGCTGGCGTTATACGATTAGGTATTTCATTAGGGCTTCGAAGCTTTGTCGATACTGATATGATAGAAAGAATGAAACTTGGTAAGAAAAATATTGTTTTTTTAATTATTCATTTCTTATAATTAAATTTAATTTTGAAATAATAATTGATTAACATTGATTATTAATATTATAAATATTAAAATCTATGTTTTTTTAAATATTTTATGAAAAATAGCGTTCAATTTTTTTCAAATCATATTTATTACTTTTTTTCTATGAAGAAAATGTCTAATATCAAAATGATATCAAAATATAATTATGTTAAAATTAAAAAAAAATTGATTTCTAATATATAACTTATAAACATTGTTATATTCGATAAAAATAATGTATAATAGTTAAATTATTAGATAAAAAATTCATTTTCCCAAAGTACAAGTAGCATTTTAATTATATTTTAAAACATAAATTTATGGTAAAAACTATTGTTCAATTATAATTACATGTCTTTATTAAAGTCATAATATTATGATAATCAATGTTTAAAATTATAATGATAATTAATTATTAAATTTATTTATCAATATTCTATAATTATTTAATTAAATCAAAAAATATATAATTAAATTAAATAATGAATATATAATATAATTAAGTGCAATGTACACTAAAATTGAGCAATTTCTTCAATCATAAAACAATAATCATAACAATAAAATCTTCTATGAGTAGCAAAACTCATTTTTCATATTTTTTATATGTAATAATATAATAAAATATTCTTAAATAAAATTAATTTTTTTACAGACAATATATACTTAATATAATTTATCCCATATTTAGAATATATTAAACATTAATTGAATTTATAAAATCGATTATTTTGGTAATCGAAATATTGTGAAATATATGAAGATATTACAAAATATTGTTTTCATCTATATAAATACAAAGAATATATGTGTAAACTATATAACATAAATATATATATACAATATAAATATAAATTAGCATAATTATTTTATTAAAAATATTTTTTTAATTGTACTTTAATTATAAAATGAAAATATAACATATAAAACTTTATTTATTAGCTGGCCTTCTAACAAATGACTGGAGGAGGCGTGAAAGAAAGAAGTGGGGTCAGGAAGGAGCTCGTGCAAAATTTACATGGAAGAAACGTTAATTTTTCTTTTTTCTGCATTTAAATTTCTATATTAAATTTGAATAAATTGTATAAAATTTATTAAACATTTTGAAATAGAATGCATGTTATCATAAAATTCTGTAGAAAAAATACATGATCAATAAAAACAAAAAATAAATGATCAATAAAAATTATTAACTAAAATTATTTATTATCTATAATATTAAAGAAAACTTTAATAAATATATTTAAAAAATTCAAATTATATATACATAACTTAATATTGAAAATATCTTTGCAATATATTATTTTTATTTATTATGTGCAACATAATTTATATTTTGCAATATGTAATTCATTTATTATAAAAAATTTTTTCTTTTTTTTCATATTTTTTTCAAAGGTGTTAAACCAAGTAATTTCATACCTTGAGCAAGAATTATTTTTGCTACATGAAATAATAATAATCTTTGATTTGCTAAATCACTTGGTTCATTTTTTACATTCAATTTATGCCAAGCTATATTGATAGATTTACTAAAAAAAAATTTATAAATATACAAAAAATTGCATAGAATTAACTTAAAATTTCAATATATATATAACTATACTAACCATAAATGAAAAAGATAAATTGTTAATATACAAGGTTCTAATTCTTCATAAGCCTTAAGTACAATTTCATCAAATTGACTAATTAATGTAATCAAATTATCAACTTCTAATTCTTTTAAAAGATTTGGATCACATTTTGTTACTAATGTAATACCACATGATTCTTCTAAATTACATAAACGACAATGAGAATATTGTAATTTTATTCCACAATCACCTTTCATCTAATATTAAAATATATTAAAATATATTTCTAACTAATAAATAATTAAAAAGTTTTAATTTATTTATATAACTTACATCCAATATTGAATTCCAATTAAATATATAATTATTCATTCTATTTTGTTTTAAATCATGAATAATTACACAAGATACACCCAAAATATCAGAAATTTCGTCAATTTTATCCAGAGTAATCTTAGTTGCTAAAATATAATGATTTAATTGATAAAATATATGATATAATGATTTAAACACAATTTTTTAAATACAATTATGACTTTTCTTTTATTTATGATCATAATATAAACTTACTTTTTATTTCCAATTGTCTTTCTCTCATAACTTCTTTTGCTTTATTTAAAATGTCTTCTAAAAATATTACATTCCCTTTTCTTGTACTCATACCTTGTACTCTTCCAAATTTAACATGTTTTAATCTATTTGCCCAAGATAATTTCATTTTATTTAAAATTTGAATTAAATTTGTAAAATGATCACTCTGAGCATTTTCTACAATATAATACATAGCATCAAATTTGTTTTTTTCAAATCTATCAATAGCAGCAGCAATATCTCGACTTAAATATAAAGTTGTACCATCACTTTTTAAAATTGGAACACTTTTTTGTTCATTTATATTTATTACTTTCCTATTATTGTTATCTAGTTTTAACAATTGCATTTCCTCCATTTTATTAATTATTTTATTTATATTTTTAATAGTATACATAGATTCCCAATCATATTGATCAAAAATTACACCTATCCTTTTATAAGTTTTTTCTAATTCTAAAACAGTAAATTGTTTTATTGTTTCCCAATTTTTATGAATTACATTATCTCCTAATTCTAATTGTTGAAATATCTTCTTAGCTTCTTTTTTCATATCTGGATCATTTTCAGCTAATTTATTAGCATCAACATAAACATTATATAATGTTTTAATAGGATCAGTTTGTATTTCTATATTATCAATTTTTGCTATTTTCATTCCAAGATAAATATAACCAAATTGTGTACCCCAATCACCTAAATAATTTATTTTTGTAACTTGATTATGTAAAAAACTATTTAGATTAGCTATACAGTTTCCTATAATTGTAGAGCGTAAATGACCTACATGAAAAGGTTTAGCAATATTTAGAGAACTAAATTCTACTATAATATTTTTATTATTATCTATGAGTAGTGGTGGTACAACACCAAAACAATTATTTTCTAAAATTTTCTTTATATATTTATTTCTTAATATATGAAAATATATGATATTATCTTTTATTATTACATTATCAAAAGATTCTTTTAAATTATTATTAATAATATTTTTAATTTCATTTGTTAAATTGTAATCTTTTGTCTTTAAAGGAAGTACAAAAGAATATGTACCAATTTCTTTGTTAAATTTGACATATAAATTAGACATAATTTTATGTCGATATACATTATTTTTATTTTGTAACGGTTCTATAACCTAAAACAAATTATATTTTTATTATTTTTAAAATTTTATCTATTTAAAAAAGTTTCTGCATTCACAAGAATTTTTTAAATATAATTTATATAATATAAATATTTTTAATAAATATATTTGTTAATGCAATATTTGTTAATAAAAATATAATTATATTTGCAGTTATTGAAATAACCGGCATTATATAATATGATAAATTTTTAAATTATTTAACCTATATTATAATTATTGTATAATTAAGAAATTTATTATAAATGTATTAGAAATTTGAAATTATGAAATTCAAATTGATCTTAAATATTATATAATTTTTAAACTTTTTAAAAATTAAATGAAAAATTAATATATAATACCTTTTTAAATATTATACTTCTCATAAAGTTACTCATATTGCGATAATAATATTATTTTTATATTATTTAAAATAAGATTTTTATAATATATAAAGTGAATTTAATATATAAAATATATTAGAATTTATAGGTAGATGTATAACTTTATAAAAATTTCTGTTTCATAATATATCATGGACAATTTGTCAGTGTAATATATGTACTGATGCTTATTTTATTTTTCTAAATAAGCATTTATAATAAAATACATCCTTTTCATAAAAATTTAAATTTTTATAAAAGTGTTTATATTAATTATATTTAATATATTATAGAAATATTATAGAAATTATGTGAAAATAGAAAATATACACTAAATAATGATAATATCATATAACCTTCACATGAAAATAGTTACAGATCTTTTAAAAATTTTTTAAATTTAATTTTAATAACGCTTATAGTATATAGTTAAAATAATTAGGTAAAATAAATCAGTTATATATTATATCATTTGAATGTAATAATATTTATTAGATAAAACTTTTTAAATTACGTAAATATATATATTATACATATTTATATTAGAGTATTTTTTAACTTAAAAATGTGTTTATATTTTATTATTTATATTTGTTTATGTATTATTTAATATGATTTTATGGAATATAATAAAAATATGGAAAATCAAATTCATTCTGAACTAATTATAAAAGAAGAAGAGGAAGAAGAAGAAGAAAAAGAACAAAAATGTGAAACTAAAAATATTGTTTGTGATGGGGAATCAACAATTGGCATCAGACCAAGACCATTAATTTGTAAACCAGAAAATGTAAATATTGGGTGTAAATCCGAACCTATAGAAACCAAGTGGCATTGGGCTCCAGGAGCATGGCAAGATGCTACAAGAACTAGTGCTTTTCAACCATATAAGGTATATATAATTTTTTATGTATATTGTTTAAGTAAAATATATTTATATAAGCGCATTTTTAATCTAATATTTTTTTTAGCCTCCTACTATACTTACTAATTTACAAAGAGGTAATACACAAACAGAAATACCTCAACTTTATAGTGGTAGTGATATTACATTTCATACATTAGCTGGTCAAGGTGAACTTACACCTGAACATATACATCCAAGTATGTTATATTATGTATATAAAATATTTTTAGATAAAAATGATTATATACATAAGTGTATATTATAATTAAATTATTGTTAATAAATTATTATAAAGATACTATAGACACACCTGATGAAAAAGGTTTAACTGGTCTTATGTGGGCTGCGGGATATGGACAATTAGGTAGTGCACGGCAATTACTTAAAGCTGGTGCTAATAAAAATTATCGTGGTCTTAATGGAGAAACACCTTTGCATTTAGCAGCTGCTTATGGACATCATGATCTTGTAAAATTGTTATTAAATCATGATGCAGATTCAAATGCAAGTGATGAGGTATGTGTTCATAATTTTTAATAAATAGAAATTTGCAAATTAATTTTCTTTTTAATAATAATAAAGGAAGGAAATACACCTCTAATATATGGAGCATATGGTGATCATCCACATGTATGTTATGAATTATTATCCAGGGGTGCTGATATAACGCATCGTAATATGTACAATATAAGTGCTTATCATGCAGCAATATTAAATAATTCATTAACTGGTAAGCAAAAATCAAATATTAAGTATTCTTAGCAAATTATATAAAATATTAAAAAATTATTCTAATCAATCATTTTTCAGCTAAAGCAGTTATTGAAAATTATTTGATACAACAAGTGATAAATATACCACCAGATATATTACAATAAAACAATTTAATGCAAATTATATAAAAATGATTTTTTAATTTTAACAGGTTTTAAAAGGTTGTGAAGATTATACATAATAATATTTATAATTGAATATTTCAATAAGTTTTTATTTTTAATTCTATATAATTATTTATAGCAAATATTTTTAAAAAATGCATTATTAGTGAATGAAATTTATATTTTTAATTTTTATGAACAGAAAATTTTACAGAAAATTTGTCAATTATATTTATACATATTTAATGAGTAAATTAAATGATAAATAAATTTTTGCTTACTTATAAAAAGTGCAAATAAAATTCTTTTAAAACTATTAATATGAGATATTTTGTATATATGTGTACAAATATTTATAATATCTTATATTAATTTCATCCTCTTTTTTATTTTTCAGAAATATATAATTTTTTTATTTATATTTGCAAAAGATATATAATAGTTTTGTTCTTAAACATAAAATATATATTTTTGCATTTTCAAGAATAAAAAAATTTAAACATAGCTTTCAAAGGATATATATTAATAATAATAATATTACCTTTGAAAATAAAAAATATTTAAGGATGAAAAAAATATAAACAATAAATGCACCTAATAATACTATTGAAAATAACAAAAACAAATGAATGTAAATATAAGAGTGAATTAATATTCTATTAAAAACTTAGATTATGTCTATATTATTCCTTTATTATATTGTAATGTTTATGTATGTATGTATGTATGTATAT